TAGATATTAAAATATGTGACCATGCAAACAAACATAATGCAACAAATGTCACTTAAGGAAGATCTCCTGCTGCTTGGCAAAGGCCTAAAATACAGTGAAATTGCCCCAGTGCTGTTTTGTGCATCTGTGTGGGTAGGGAAGACCTGAGCCTGACCATCTGGAATTTCACTTGCCCTTGGTCTTTGTGGAGCAGGGATTGGTGCGTGGGTGGGACGGTGAAAACTGTACAGTCTCCAGGGTCACAAACTGCAAAGATCTAATGATAACTGTGCATAGCTTGACAGCACAGGGAAAGGAATTTTCCCCGTTCTTGGTGGGTTTCTTCAACAAAACATACTTCTTTGGACTTATTTATTTTCTATGAAAACCCATGAACATTACCCTGGGTGGCCCATATAAGCTTTACAATGACCATCATATAAATATCTGAGGCTAAAGACAAGGAGGACTTTGATGAAAAAATAGGTCTGAATCTATTTCTACCACCTCTCAGATACTGCTTGTTGGTTACAGAGATGATCTCCTTCTCATTAATGACAAACTGTAATCTAGGTCAGTGGTCCCCAACCTTTTTTCTGCCATGGACTGGCACGGGAGCATTGGAGCCGGCTGCCTCCCTCCTGGGGCTGTCCCACCTCTCAGCTTTAATTCCACATGTCGCTGCTGGCGGCAGAAGCCGCTTGCCTGGGCGGACAGATGTGGGGCCGAGCAGGGGGCTCATGCCATGAGCCAGCAGCAAACCTAGCACGGCCCAGTGGGGGGAATCTAGGTTACAAGGATTTCAGGATCATGAAATAGCTCTCTCTTTTTTCTCCCCAAGAAGTAACCTCTTTCAAAAAGTTCTGAATCTTAAAGGAGTTGCAGATAGCTAATAAGGCATGACATTCACCATTCAAGTATATTTTTCTCCATAAATAACAAATTCACTAAAATCCAATACATTTTACGCCAATGGTGCTCAACGTTCCTGATCCTGTGAGCTAGTTGAGTGGCATAGAGCCTGTCCAGAGACTGGATCCTGTGCATAGGGTTGATCCATGGGCCTAAATCAGCATGGGGTTGGCACATGGGGTCGATCTGTGAGTGCACTCCAGTTCATCTACCTGACCCCATACTCCAGATCCAGCCATGGACCGACCCTGAGTGCCGGTACAATCTGCGCACAGGAAAACATCATCTGGCCCATGGGTCCCAAAATTTGGCATCCAGGATACGATGGCAAAATTAATTGCCATGGCTCTGGAAACCATAGCAATTAATGCTGCTAATGCTCCCCCACTGCTGCAGGTGAGATCCTACCGCTGCTATCCTGTCACCAAACTTCTGGACCCAATAGGAGCCCCATGGCCCAATGACATGGGTCCGAGGGCAGAATCCAATCTGAGGCCTGTAGATTGATCAGGATTGCTCTATGCTGATCTACATTTCCACATTTCTGGGTTCCAAATACTTAGTGGCTTTGGAATCCTATTTTGTTGTCAAGCCTTCTTATCCAGATCACATAATGTTGTAATTCACTTATATAAGTCTTCATGACTTCATGGAGAATTTGCTCTGTGATAGGAGATCTGTGCTAATTTACATATGGACCAAAATATATTATGCACTGTATGAGTACAAATGAAGGCCCTCAGATGAAAACATTTTTACAGTGCTTGGCTTTACAGGGTACTACCACATATGAAAAATGAAAGGAAATGGCCCAGAGATTTGGATGTAGGCCAAGGGGCATATTCCTTCCAAGTGCATAAGCACACTATCAGTATTGAATGCATATTGCATGAGGAAAAAATTCTCTAAAATGGAAGACTATTGTTTACACTGAAAAAACATTTACATATGGCTATAATCACAAGAGCTATTGATTTGATCTTATACTTTGGTTTTAAGGTTTTCAAAGCTATCTAGCGGTTTTAGATTCATAGCTTCTTTTAAACTGCAGTAGCAGGGGGGCATGTATCTAAATTGCCTAGACCAGCGGTGGCCAACCTGCAGTACAGGTACCACAAGTGGTACAGGCAGCCTGTGTGTGTAGCATGAGGAACATCAGAGAGGGATCAGGCAGCACAGTAGCGGAGCAGGGAGCAAAAAAGCAAATTAGCATTCTGGCAGGGGGCACGGGGAAGAAAGTGGGAAGCACAGCATCAGATCAGGCAGAAAGCAGAATGCAGAGCAGCAGATCAAGCAGGGGAAGAGCATTGGAATGGCATGCAGGGAGGGCATGGTGCCAAGTTGTATACCTGCCAAAAAGGTTAGCATACCTGCCAAAAATGTTGGCCATCACTGATCTAGACTGTTTGATTTAGTAAAAATAACCTAGGTTTCTTCTTTTCTGCCAATTCATAAGCCTGGATAACATGCTCCATTAAAGGATTAGACAATGGTGGAGCTGGGGAAATGAAAAGGGTGAATCAGATATCAAAAGATTATGTCTGTATAAGTGTTCAACAATAATCCTCTGTGGAAGGGACTGTCTCTTGTGTTAATGCAACACCAAATGCAATGGTGCCTTTGAGCATTGTTATAATGCAAGCAATAATAATAATAATAATAATAATACTAAAGGCAGCATTTGCTTTTAACACAGCTAATTTTCCTCCTTTTTTCCCCATTTCATTTTATCATACAATTGAGATTAAGTCTTGACTTAAAAATCTGAAGCAAGATCATTTACCATACTGTTCCTCTTTACATCCACTTACAATTGCTAGTAGGAACTTACAAAAAAAAAAAGGGAACCTCCCTTAGGAATAGCCTCTCCTTTTAAGTGTTTGTTTTCCATTATTTCAGTAGTTTTATCTTCAGAGGATGGGAAAAGAAGAAAAGATAGGTCAAAAGGTAAGAAATTTCAATGCTGGTGTAATCCGCAAGGAGCATTATCCCCTCACAGAAATACCTAGGATATGGCAAATTAAGTATATTCATTTTCCTTCCTGCACATCACTTGTAATGTAGTCTGAATCTACAGAAAAATGGAACAATAAGAAAGCAAGTGAATTCTTACTGAAATCACTGCGTGTATTCTGGTGAAGCTCAAATCAGTTCTTTTAGCATATATTTTGCAACAGGATCTCTCTTCCTCTCTCTTATTGTACATGCAAATTCAGCAATGTATATTCACACCTTTGTCCTGGTCCTACATAGGCTGATGTGGAAGATCATTGGGTCAAATACAGGAATCCTAGGTGTCTTGCAAATAACATGGAAGGTCTGTGGCTATGTAGGATACGTCCACGCTAATAACTAGGTTGACCAACCCACGTCATAACAGCCAGCCCTTTCCCAAATCTGAATATGATTCCCTAGAGGCTGAATCTGAATGTGATTATTATCATACAGTGCTTCCTCTTACTTGTGCATAATAAGCCTTGTCTTTCTTTCTGTTCTTGGCTCTAATTATGGCCAGTAGAGACAGAAAGTAGGCTTGCAGAAGAGCTAAAAAGTCAGGAACAGGAAGTTGTGGGACTGTGGCTTTGCTTCTGGCCTGGAGCACCTTGGTAAATTCTAAAGCCACTGCAGGGAAGGGTGGCCTAGCAGGAGGCTTGACCTCTGACCCTGAAGTTCCACAGAGTTTCCAGAGTTGGTCTGGACAGCAGCCAGAGACTGAGTTTAGGGGTTTCTAGTGTAAATGTTTTGTAAGTTTGGGCTTATGCATGGCCATTAGATCAGACCTAGGTAGGAGGCATAGATAACACCTCCAAGGTACATCACCAAGTCACTCCATTACGATCATCTAATGGGTGTAGTGGATATGCAGTAGTACTCGGGGTCAGGTCAGAGCACTGATCTTTTGTTACACAGATTATTATGTACACATGCCTGACTGTCAATGGCATGACATAGCTTGGGTGGAATACATAGATCAAGAGCCATGAGTAAATAACTTTGACTCCCAACAAAATTTTGATCAGGGAACAACTATTATTGGCACTAGAACTCAATTTTTAAAGTAGGTTAGAGGGCAAATTAGTGTAGCACACACATAACTAAAATAGATATTTGAGCACTTAGACACTGAATTAGGTGCCCTAAATTTGAAAACTGTGCTCCCCAGTTTTGCAATGGAACCCAAAAGCTCATCATACAGATTTAATGGAATTGTACTGTGCTAACTGGAGCAATGAGAGGTTGGCAGTGCTCTTCTCACCAGGAAAATGCATGCTCCAAAAACTGATAAAACATTCAGGCTCAGGTGTCCCCACAGTCAATGCCTGGTTTATCTTAAATTTAAAAATATTTTCAAAATCAAATTGAATTCTAGAGTGTTTTTAAAGAAAAATGTGTTGATTGAATTATTACCCCTTTTATTGCAAATATTTAGAGAAGGAAAAACTGGATGTTTTAAGAATCCTGTAGAAATGAAGAGAGTAGGCAGACTTCATGGACTTCCCTAATTCAGAATTTCCTTGTCTTGTGCGTACTGTTAACTGTAATGTTACGTGACATTAAATGGCTTCTTAATAAGAAAAAAAGAATGGGTGTAAGGTTACTTGTGTAAGTGTTACTTCATTTCATCCCATCATAGCCGGTATGCAGCCCCCACCCTAAAGCACCCTTGTGCCCCAGCCAGCCTGTCACCATCTACACAAGTGTTGCAGAGGAGTAAATAATTCCACCATAAAAAGAGTACTTGTGTTGGGCAGTACTGTCCTATGGCAGAGTTAATTAGTTTACTCTGGCATAATATCATAATTTGTGTAGATAGTGACGCTTTACTAATTAGGCAACTCTGCAGTAAGTGTCTTGTGTAATGTACCCACTGGCACTAATGTTGGCTTATTTTTCATGGCACTATGTGTATAGATTCATGGAACCACTGCTTAGTAAGTACAACAAACTTAAAATACTGCAGTTTAAATTTGACTTTCTTTTTCCAGATGTATCTCTGAAAAAAATGCAGTTATTTTTCTACACACAAATAGCATCATGACGGTAACACCTTTCTTCTCATCTATCGGGACCTCTTTGAATTTATAATAATTTTGACTTGTATTTCATACCTTCCAGCTCCCTGCAGCCAAGTTCTGCAATGCACCTGCTGCACCTTCCAGTGTGTCTGGATTTGAGCACTCGGAGAGAAGTGTGAGGTAGGGTTTGACTATTGAAGGGTGCCACAGCATCTGGATTCCTTTTGGTGGTTCTGCACAGTCTGGGAGAGGTCCTACTCCGTCCCACTGTTGGAAAGGACAAATCTAATGTCACCAAAGATACTAATATCACTGAGAAAAATATTTAACCTTTTTTTAATATATAGGTCCACCGTCAAAAGCAGCATTCCTCACCTTTAACCATAATACGAAATCCTGGACAGAGGCAGAGAATCTTCCTCCCAGTACTCTTCCTAAAATAGCTTTTTGATGGTACTTGACCTTACCATTAATGAAAATCTTTAAGTACTCTATCTAATTAACATAATGAGAGCAATTAGCTTCCACTGCATAACTTTTTTTTGGAGGGGGGGGGGGGGGGGGGGGGGGAGTAACAAAACCTACTGAGAAGCACTTGTATCAACAAAACTTATTGGGTGTCTTGCATGAAAAATAAAAAAATATAAAAAAGGAAATTCTCTATTTGAGTGATCTTTTCGGTGCTGCCTTTTCAGTGGAAACTACTCTGAAAAAATAAATGATGAGTGGGCTCTGGCTCTTTTCCTCTGACATGTCTGGATAGTGGACTATTGTCCAACATGGGCAATGGTCAATCCTGTACTGCTATGAGGTTTAGACACTAATATTTCACATCAAGCTGGAAAAAGGAGCCCTACTGCAGAGGAAAAAGAGTCCCCTCTTTTCACTAGAACTCACAGCATCCATTTCTGACTGTTGGAAAGTCTATTAAAATGCTATTCACGGCCATTTTAAAACAAGTAAGAAAATCTAAGCTAAGTTTTTAAAAATCTTCTAAAACATTTCAATACTATTTTTCCTTTAACTCACACAACACATAAAATTCACAATGTGACACTGGCATAAGATAAAGGTTCTCTTAGCACTAGTTTAGGATGACTCATTGGGCATGTCTACATATGCTATTAATGTGCTGTAATATGCTGTAATCTTACTGCACAGTAAAATAATGTGCAGTAAGCTTTCCCTGGGATCATGTCTACATGTGCACCCAACAGGAGCAGTGCAGTGCAGGGCTACTCCTGCCCTGCTCTGCTCCTTTACAGCAGCCAGTGGGAGATCCAGGCTTCCCCACATGCCAGCCTGGGCTGGCAGGGGGCACCGTGATCTAAGCTGGGCTCTGGTGGGCAGGGGGATCTGTCCCACCTCTGGGGCAGCTGCCTCCGGTCCCTGTGCCCCAATCGGCAGATCAGGATGCAGGGCTGGGAAACTGTCCCCTCCCCCAAGCAGCTGTTTCCCAGCCCTGCACTCTAATTGGCAGATCAGGGCATGGGGCTGGGAAACAGCTGCTTGGGGGAAGAAACAGCTGTCCTGTCCCCATCTCCCCTGTCCCCCCACTACCTGGGCTCACCAGGGGCAATTTGATCCTGGTTACCTGTCTACACATGCACTACTGTGCAGTAGCTACAGGTAGTATCCAGCTGAACAGCAGACTAACCTACTGCACAGTAAATGCTGCACACACTTAGACAGTGACACTTTACTGTGCAGTAAATTAGTATACTGTGCAGTAAAGTATCTCATGTAGACATGCCCATTATGGCTTTGTCACTTGAGAGGAATGTGGTCAATAAAAATGTATGCAGATAAAACATTCACCTCTACCATTCTATCATGCGGCCTAAATGCATCAGTACATGCATAAACTGAAAGCTCAATAAATTTCTGGTTGAATCCCACAACATTTAATGTAGTTAGCTCATGTAGTCCATTACGATATGACATTAAGGATATTCACATTGCAAGAAAGTAAGATTTTTTAAAATTCTAGATGTCAGTGGCAGTTTACATATGATTTAAAGCTAAGTATAATGTCATACATATTCAAAGTAAAACATGATGTCTAAACCCTGAGCTTGTTTGAACTGACATGGCTGTACTGACTTTAAAAAAGCTGTATATTTAATTGCCCTAGGTCTCAATTTACTATAGCTAAAGCAATGTAATTCATGCTTTTATCATTCCCTGCTTTAGAAACACCCAGGCCAGAGATGGCTGTCCAGATGTAGACTAGGATTAGCAGAGCCTACTGGGGTAAGGGACTGTCACATGAAATTTCCTCCCCATTTCAGCCTGGTTGTACGAAATCATACCTTTGTACGAAATCATACCTTTGTTTAAAAAAAGAGAGAGAGAAAAGAACCAAACATTGATTTCACACTAGGTAAGAAAGAAAACACATGTGGGAAGCCCATGTTAAACTACTGTAAGAACATTCCACAAGGTTTCATTCCAGAGAGAAGGGAGTAAAGAATCTAATTTCTTAATTCACTATTGCTGAGAAACTGAGATATGCCAATTCTTTGTTCATACAAGTCACCAACATACTATAAAAACCCAGCTTCTTGGATTCATGGCCATATTCTGGCCTTTGGACAACTTGAGGGGAAAAACAAACAGAAAAAAAGGGGTGGGGGGTGGCAAAATGCTGGATCTGCCTACCATCTTCCCTCACAGATGCAATCAGCCTCCAAATGAAGGGAGGTTAGTAGCTGTGGAGTCCTTTGGGGATCAGATCCTACTGTGGTAGTGCAGATCTCAGACTGACTTGATGGTGACTTCCTTTTACTTCCCTGTCTCTGTACCATTAAATGTGGGAATTTTCAGGAGGAGCTCAGTGTGGAATATAACTTAGGCTCATTTGTGCATTAGTAACAGCATCCACATCTGTGACTGCGCATCAATAAGACAGTTGCACCACTTGCATTGCAGCTGAAGTATCTTATTTCAATGAAGTGGGAGACATGTATGAATAGAAGTATATTCTAATATAACTGGTAATTTAGGTGGGCTGCATTTGCTGTAGTATCCCATGTTGCCTCCTATATAAAATGTGGGCATTAAATCATGTAAGGATACATTACTTTTCCTGTAGGGTTTCCTTATGCTTCCTCAGCTACCAAATACATTGTTAGAAAGTAAGATAAACATTTAATTCAGGAGACAATTTTCCATTGTTCTGTAAAGTGACCCATGCATCTCCAAAATGTCTTTTATTACATGCCCCACTTAATGGCTGTTGAATAAATAGGAAAGAAATAAAGAAGACAACTGATGTAAGAATCTTCTTTGATGACAACTAGAGTAGTTCAAAGTGCTGTTTTGTTATTTGAGGGCTTAGGAGCACTGAGACTTGTTAATGGTGAAGAAAAGGAGACATTTCAAAGCTAGCAAATCTATGTGACCTTTATCTGGATGCTTTCTTCAACCTTTCATAACAGTTAATAATAAAAACCTTAAATTGTCCAAGGCAAAATTATTTTCACAAGCTGTAATATTACAGTAAATGTTTCTCCAATAGCTGCTGTGGCAAGCTGAAGTTACTTTCTACCAAGAACTATTCAATATTAATGAATCGAAGTAGTGAGCTGAAAGACTGTGCCCAGAGAATTACTGGAACAGTCACTACATAGTGGTAATCCATCAGGAGTGATCAATAAGTTCTATCTGAGATAGCCTGTACTATAGATATACAGGGAACATCTCAGAAGGATGAGGGCTATATACTCCTCCTAGCTTATGTTAAAAAGCCTAAAGCCCTGAACAAAAACTCCTTCCAGCCCTCATCTCTTATGCTGTAATTTACAAAGATGCTGTGAAACTGACAGAAGTTGGGAGTTACGTGGATGAGCTATGGCCCTGCTTCTCTGTCCTCCCCCCCAAAACACACTTCCTAAATCCAATCCACACATAAAAAGGTCCAAAGAATTACACAAATCACACAAATTCCCAAAATCTATTCCATTTTAATCTATTTCAAAAGCAAAAGACTTATTAATCATTCCTATCCATACTATTCCTATAGCCTATTCCTTCTCTGAAGAGGCTGTTGGGGGACAATTCTGCTTTTGTGAACCAGCCCTTTACTCTCAGACTCTACTGTTGTTCAGTGTGCATGCGTCTATAGGACCAAATCCTTACTCTGTTCCCCATGGCAATGAAAGTAACATTAGTTCTTTACACTCCCAGATGGCACAGACCTGATCAAAAGCTGGAATTTCTATTTCCCTGGAAATTCATAAATCCCAAAGAAAGAAAATTGTTTAGGAGAAAAACATCTTTACAAACCATTTAAATGATAATGGTTTTAAGGTTGGACACTTTCCACTGCTGCCAGGCCCCCTGGCTCCCTGTCAGCACAACAGACTGGCAGGAAGCCAGCAGTCACAGGGCCCTCAAAACTATGGCTGAGGGAGGAGCCTTTATGTTTGACAGTCAGAGTTCACAGCCTCTGCGGGCTCTGGCTCTGCAGTCCAGAGGCGGGGGCTGCTGAAAATCAAGGACACCTTATGGTCTCCAGCTCCAGCACATTCTACATGTCAGAGTTGCCCTGGAGCAGTAGGCTCTGTAAGCTCTGGAGCCCCAGCAACCCACCAGGTAGGCTGGCAGGTAACTAGACACATTTTGGACAGAAAACTGTTTGCCAGCCACACTCCCACTGGAGCCCTGAATGAGATTGCTAAAAGCTCAACAAATCCAATACGCTTCTATGAAACATTCAACAATTTGTAATTTTTCAGTGAAAAACAATTACCACAAAAAATTCCTGACTAGCTCTGAGGACTCCAAACCAGAGCTGCCTGTTCCTGAAAGCAATCAAGATGGCCCAGAAAGGGGCATATAACATCTCCAAGTATGGCACCTACAACTCTCTTGCAGGGGTTAAAGCATCCATAGAAATTAACTTCCCACGCAGTTACTCATTGGATCCTGTCCCTTCGTGCATCCCTTGAATTCAGTAATTTCTATGGAACTTGATGGAGGGTTGTGGCAAAGTGGGGCTCCCCGACTAGCCACAGTGCTAGTTTCCCCACTTGCCTTGGGCACACTACCCACCTGACTCACCTGTCATGCCTTGTTGTTAATTAATTAATGATCTTAATTAGGTGGGAGGCTGCCCATTTCTTGCCCTGATGCTAGGGGGCACTATCTGTGGCTCCGATCCTTCCCTACCTACACCGCAGCCCAAGCCTCCCAGATGGCATCCAGATGATAGTGCTCCTGGCCTATAGCCAGACCAACCTTAGGCCTCATTGTCAGGCCTCAGT